GAGTATCCACTAAAAATAATGTTTAAGTAATAAAATTCATATATATATTGTCATCTATAGACAACTCTCATCAGTGTGGCTAGACATCCAATTGCCTCAAGCTGGGATTGCAACCTGACTGATTTGATATCAGTTGGAGATTCTGCCCCTAAGCCATTGGCGCATGGCAGGGATGAAGGTGAATTTAGGCATATTTATTTTTAGATAAACACACCAGTCACTGGAGAATTTGATTCATCTTAACGAAGAGTCTTGCATCAGCAGCAGTAATAGTCACTGTTTACAAATTCTCTTTTCTCCCCGAGAACTCAACCAAAATAATTTTTTTCAGGAGCATGTATTTATTATCATCCACAGCAGACTGTTTCGTTGTTTCACAGCTCATCAGTGTGGCTAGACATTCAATATATATATATATATATATATACACACACACACACATGTATGTCTGATTAAATACAGACATTATGCCTGCTTATTTTTAGTATAATCCATTTATACAAGTATGAGCGGTTTATGTTAAAAATAAGCAGACATAATGTTTGTAATTTATTTAATCAGACATGCCTATAAGAGAATTTGCTGCCTAAATACATATATATATATATATATATATATATATATATATATATATATATATATATATATACACACAAAATCTATGAAATTATCTATCTATCTATCTATCTATCTATATATATATATATATATGGATTGGAATCCAACAGGATGATAAGAGCAAATATGAAATGTATATCAATCTAACATTTTTGACTTTTATTAAAACTTCATCTGAGATTGAGAAAAAACAAATAAGACAGAACTTTGGTATTTTCAATTTTGTAAAAAGCAAAATATGTTTTTATACTTTTTATATTTGTTCTTTATTTCATCATCATATATATATATATATATATATATATATATATATATATATATAATGTGTGTGTGTGTGTTTTGTCTCAAAACTTTTTTGAAAAAAAAATGATGGTGGGATATATATTGTATTTATTATAATACAAGATGTGCCATCCCCTTATTGATGTGTTCCTCCTCACCTCGCTAATATCCAAATATTTACTGTGCATCTTGGTGCCAGTATTAGGGAAAGAAACAAATTCTATATCCTGAAGATGTGAACTCAGCAGGTTGAAGTCTAGTGAGCAGCGGTCCCTCTCAAATCTCCATGTCTGCAAATACAGTAATTTTTAAATGTTATTTTGTCCTTTTCATCTAGCAGTCATGGCTACTACTATTGATACTACTATTACACATCTGTTATTATTTTATGCCAAGTTTACTACTACTACTACTGCTGCTGCGACTACTACTACTACCACCACCACCATTTGTTATCAGACTATAATGCATTAGCAATGACAATTACAACCCCTTACAGCTATTGCAATTTACATGATTTCCGCTTGAAGAATTTTGGGTGCCCAGTGTGTGTGCATCTGAAAATGTACAAAATTTATCCACCCTCATATGACAAATCTTATTGCTACTGCTACTTCGATTATTATAAACATTATATTAAAATTATTAAAGTTGTTACTACTGCTACTCCTACTATTACTATGTATCTGTGTACAATATTACCCGCATGCAATGAACATATGGAATGTACTTGTGTTCATATATTTGTAGTTAGTTTGAATTCATGATGTAATAAAGAACCATTTCAATCTTTAGTTTTTTCTTTTCTTTTGTCTTTCATTTTGGGTATTTTTTTTTTTTTTGCTTTTGTCCTTTCTGCTGTGGGTGTGTGGGTGGTGTAAAGAGAAATCGGAGAGGCGATTTTGAATTCCAGTCAGGTTTGTTACATCTGCTATGCGCAAATACCCTTGCAACAAAAAGTATGAATCCATCTTCTCCCCCTTCCCCCAGCTATGGGTTTAATAGTAAGACTTGTATCTGGAAAAATCATTGTTATTCTCAAAAAAAAAATTTGTTAATTTAGTCTTCACACACAAAAAGGAAAAAAAAGAATTATATTTCGGCTTTAAATAACTCACAAAGGGTTGATAAGCTGTAAAAAAACAATCAATCGATCTCTTTTCTGTTATTATTTGCTTATTTGTAAGCATACAATGGATCTGTCATCCTGTGGATATGCAACTGGTGAGAATGAAAAATGGAAGAGTCAAGTTTGAATTTCAGTCTATTACTTTCACTTATGCGCAAATACCTTAGGGAAAGGTATGACTCCATCTTCTTCCCTCCTATGCTATGAGTTAAATAGTAAGACATGTATCTGGATAAATCATTGTTATTCGCAAAAAAATTGTTAATACCGTCTTCACTTGCAAAAAAAAACAGGAAAAAAGAATTATTCTTACTGTCCAAAATATGTTTAAACTTTAAATAACACTCAAAGGGTTGGTAAATCATAAAAAAATAAATTAGTCTCCACTTTGTTATTATTTGTAAACCTACAACAAAGCCATCACCTAACCCTTTAGTGGATGTGCAGGTGGTGTAATGGATAGCCACTCAGAATTAGAAATTGGAGAGCCAACTTCGAATTCCAGTTGAATTTGTTACTTTCACTTATGCACAAATATCATATATATATTCTACCCACTACTGTATTACAACTACAATTGAAAAGAATTTATCTAAACTTAACATAAAATTTGTCTCCACTACATCTAAATAAATAAGACTTAATCACTTCAAAAGAAAGCAATAAGCCAAAACTTGAAGGAGCAATTTACTGTAACACCGGCAAAGATTGCTAGAAAGAATATATTGGAGAAACTTCAAGAAGTTTAAATAAAAGATTATATGGACACCAAAGAGATAATTTAAAAACAACCCACAAAACCCATTGGTTGTTCACCCCTATTGAAACTGACCACAATTTTAACAAAAAATGCTACTCTAATTAAAAGACAAAATAATTCACTAACATGAAAATGTCTAGAAAGTGCTTTAATTGCTAAATCATCCATAGTAAATGTACGTCTTGGTTCTTACAACATATCACCATTCTTGGCAGATTTTCTGTTATCACAGTGTGGGATATTTAATAACAAATGTGATGGAAACACAAAGAAAAAGAATCAAAATGAATTTGGTTAATAGTAAAAAAACAAAAAAAATTTGTTTTTGAAACACCCAGTAATTGTGTGCATGTGTAGTCACAACAATGTAAACAAACCCAGTCAGATGACATACTAATGGATGAAACGTGTCACAAAATCGTTTTCCAGTTTGTCATACATTTTTATTTCAAAATTGCTCTTGATATATAAAAATTTAGATAAAATTTATATATATTGTTATTCCATATATATATATATATAACCTTTAACTGAAGTACAAATTAAATCTACGTATAACAAGCACACCCAGACTACCTTTTGTTTTAATATATATATATATATATTTTGAACAATAAGAAATATTAAAAAAATAAAATCTTCAGACACACTGGGTTGTAGATTAATATTCTTTTGTTTTTATTATTATTATTATTTCATTTAGATTCCTCGACTAGTTTCGGCCAACATGGCCATCATCAGGAGAAGAAATATTTCTGCTTGCTTGTAGCAGTGAACTACAGAAATGAATGTCTTGATGGAGAAAATGAACTTTTGTCTGTAGTTTTCATTTGTTTTTTTATTTTTTTTTATCTTTTTAACATGAATCTTTTAACATTCCTTGTGTTGGTCAAACAGTCTCTTTTAAGTTGTTATTTGAGATAAGAGCTGGATCCATGCTACTCTGAATTCCCCTAATATATATATATATATATATAGAGAGAGAGAGAGATAGATAGACATATATAAAACAAAAGGCAGTCTGGGTGTGCTTCTTATATGTAGATTTAATTTGTGCTTCAGTTCAGTCAAAAGGTTATATGATATATGTGAATGTCAGTGTGTCATTGTGTCTCCCTTTTTCAATTAAAGGGACACAACTCTCTAACTTTCAATAGATCATTTATATAATAAACACAAATGTCAGTGTTCACTGGAGAAAGTATCTACAGGCGTGCATAAAATATTTATCGGTAGAAAATAATATGATGTATAAATATTTGATATATTCTTTTCTGTTGTGACTTAGCTCTGTGTAATAACGTTAGACATAATATCACTTTGGGTTAATTTGAATCCCAGTGTTCCCTCCAAAAATGATGTAACCAACATAATATTGTCAACCATACTGACAACATCCCATTCTTGACATTAGTGAGGAGAAACGGCAATAAAAGAGCAGGTTTAAGGAAGACAGAAGATAATGATTCGTGTTGCACTTAAATTTTTGAAGATTGTAAGTGGCAGGAAAGCAAGAAAACTGAAGAGAGTTCCACAGGTGAGAAGTGTGAGAAAAGAAACTATTAGAATAGAACACACGGTTGCATCTAGCTAGTTCAACAATAAAATTTATATTTGTATGTTTTATGGTATGCTGAATTGATATTGGGCACTGAATATCCCCCTAAAAGAAGTCTAAAATTCCCGCCCCCAGACGAAGTCTAAGATCGCCTCAAAAGTCTAAAATCCCTTGACGAGATGTCTAGAATCCCCCAGAATAAGTTTAAAATCTCCTCAGAAGTCTAAAATCCTCCACTCTCAGACACAGTCTAAAATCCCTCGAGAAGATGTCTAAATTCACCCCAGAATAAATCTAAAATCCCTCCAGAAGTCGAAAATCCCCACCAAAAGAAGTCTAAAATTTCCACAGAAGTCACCTAAAATCACCTTAGAAGAAGTTTAATATCTCCCCAGAAAGTTACTCCCCCCAAGAAGTCTAAATGTATTAAATGCAAAATAAAAGCTCTTTTGGAGAATTTTGGCTCTTCTTTCTCTGCTGATCCTGTTTTCTCAACCCAAACCCTTAAATATTTTTCATTAGGAATATGAAATAAATGACTGCTTTGCTCTATTGTGTGATCCCACTGCATTGCATCATATAAAAAAAAACACATTATATTGCTGTATTTAAACAATAAGTACAAACATTCATCTTTTTTTCTTTAACTTTATGACCATATGACATTTAAACATTGGTTCCCATATGCTCACTGAAGTTAAGTAACATCGAGCCTGGTTAGTACCTAGATGGGTGACTGCTTGAGAATACCAGGTGATGTAAGCTTTGATGTACGGGCAGTGTAATGGATAATGGCTCAGAATTGTTAATCAGAAAGCTGAGTTCCAATTCTGGTTGGGTTCATTATATTCACTTATGCAGAAATACCCTTGGGAAAAGTATGAATCCACCTCTTCTCCCCCCCCAGCTATGGGTTAATTAGTAGGACTCATATCACTAAACTATTATTATCTAAAAAAAACAAAAAATTCTTTAAATCTAAAAATATTTTCTGGCTTTGAATAACTTGCAAAAGGTTGATAAACCATAAAAAAATGAATGAATGATTTTTTTCTTTTAAAGATATTTGTTGAATTAATCTAAGTTTGACTGTAAGAGTTCTTGGATTGCAAAGGAAAATATTTGTCACAGATTACTTTCACAACAAAGAGGACAAATCACTGTAAGTTCAGATTTGAACATCCAGGGCAGAAAGAAATATCAAAATCTCGATCTGCACGCACTATGTCCCAAATCACAATGCATGTAACCAGCCAGAAAAATGACTCACTCATCGACGACTGCCATGGTTGCTAAATACACAAATTTTGTCTTTTTTTTCTCCCTGATTCGAGGACACCAACTGCGTTTATCGACTGTACATTTTTTTTCATTCGTCGATAACTGGGAGAGGACGCACAATATTAGCATATCAAAATACTTTTATGGCAACTCCTGTGACTGACTTGTTTCCAATTTGAATATGCCGTCTTCAGCATATCATGCAGAATACTTGCCCTTTTTTTCGGCAAGTAACTTTCTTTTTCGTCACGGTTTCTATTGCATGATACACTCGACACATTGTTGCTTGGTTTGATGAGGTATTTCACTGTTTTCTTTGCTATATTGGCAAAAAACTTAATTCTAGGAGTATCAAGAATGGACTGACCTTACAAGCATCAGCTTGCATGAGGAATCTACCAGCTTTGGCTCTGTGGTAGGCAATAATGATGATAGCAGTACTGTTGCAACATTTAAATGCTTTTAAAATAACATCTTTTGTTTTCTTTTATAGCTATAAAACTTGCCAGTTATACAGTAGTGGTAAACCCACAATAATCCAGATGTATCCTTTTCTGGTTTGTTGCAAGTGGTATGTTGGCCCACAAACAGATCTTGAATGATGGAAGACAACAACAAACAAAACAAAGACTTGAGTAAAAAATATATATTGTCAAGTTTATACATCAACAAAAATAAGCTAGGTACCAGTGCACTAGGCCAAAAATATCTCTACATGCTCAAGTAGATAGTGAGAGGAGCGTTGTCCTAAAAAAGACAGTTTGTGGTCACTGAAAAGTGTTGTCCTGAAAAGTACAATTTATTGCATATTGTTACTGCTGGTGAGGATGGGTGGACCTGGAGGTGGCTGGCTGGAGCTGGAGGCCTGTTGGAGATGGCTAGAATGGTGGGAACTGCATGACTACTGGAGATGGCTGGAACAGTGGGTAGTGGTGAGTTGGAGCTGCAGATGCTGATGGCTGAAGCTGTGAGCTGGCTGCTAGAAGAGATACTACACTTTGATGTTAGTCATCTGGGCTGTAGTGTGGTTTATTTTGAAATATTACATCTTATCTGGCACAAGGCCATAAGTGGAGAAAGGCTAGCTGATTCCCGACCCATTCATCCATTACATAGGACTTTTTATTATCTAGATCAGTTTTAAAATGATTGCTGGTTAAGCTTTTTCTTAAAGTTGTTTTTAAAAAAATGTGGGAGTGTTGACAGGATATGACTGGTTTACTTGGGATGTTGTATTGGTGTTCCATGTTTACATCCTGACTGCAGGGCATTGCATGTATGTATAGTTACAAATATGTGAGCTCAGTTCTATATCAGCTAATTTGTATAAAAAGTTCTGGAAATAGATAAGTAATTTGAACTTATATCAAATGCATTATGTTATTCTACATTTTCTTGTTTATGTCCAGGAGCTCTTCAATATTAAAAGTAAACCACTGAATAATTATGATTTGTACATAACAAAAAAATAAAGATGAGAAATGGTAACACACATATATATATATATATATATATATATATATATATATATATATATATATATATATATATATATATATATATATATATATATATATATATATAAGAAAAAATATCTATACCCATATATTTGCTTACATATATATATATATATATATATATATATAATATTAGTGGTAAATACCCATACATGTATATTTTTTGAATAAAAATTCCAAGAGGATAGAATTCAGGTAGAACTCAATATCCAGGACAGAGTAATATATAATAAAAAGGCTTAAACACTAATATTCCATGGTCATAATTTATTCCATTGGAATTGTAAATATGATCCAATTCATCAGACCTACAAATTCAAAAAGAAAACAGAAAAAACAACTCCGGAAATAAAAACAGAATTTAGAGAGAGTGTAAGTATGAGGGGTAACATACTAGAGAAGGGGGGAGATTAAACCTTAACAGAGAGAATTTTAGGAAAGGTGAGTGGAAGGGGTTTAAGTAAGAGAAATATGAATGTTGTCAGATGTCATGCATTAGACATCCGACAACATTCATATTTCTCTTACTCATGGAATATTAGTGTTTAAGCCTTTTTATTATATATATATATATATAATGTTACCAATTTATATATATCTGTGAAACCAGGGCCAGTGCAAGAGTCTCATGCACCCTTGGAATCTATGATGCATCCACACCCAAATCTGTGATGGCCCCCACCCTACTACATCTCAATTTTCAAAAGGTAGTATTCATGTAAAATACAAATTTTATTGTAAACTAATTATGTACAATAATGGATTATATGCAACTAGAAAAATTGAAAATAAATACAATGTATCTTAAATACAAATTAGAGACATGTCATAAGAGATCATTCCATCTTAAATAAATCAACAATGTTTTGCAGCAATTTTTAACATCAACCTGAGGTTTTTCTTGTTAAAAAGTTGAATTTTAACACATTCAACATTATGGATAAAAAATAGTGAATTTGACACAGCATTTTTTGACTCGTAACATGAGCAAAGCAAGTTCATAGATTTGGATGAAAAAAAAAACAGAATGATGTCAAAATCTGCAAAAAAATTTTCATCTTTTAAAATCAGTTGTGCTTAGATAGCAAGGGTTACAAACCATTGCCTGGGGCCTCCAATCAGGTTTGGGCCTGTCAGGGAGTTTGGGGTCGTACACACAGGCCCTGCATGAAACAGTTGCTAGTTAATAATGGTTTTCTGAACTACCTCATAGATAACCAAATTAGATACGTATTAACTATGAGCAGGATGAATTGTCCATTGGAAACATTATAAGGAAATACACAACCCCAGTCGACCAGAACAAGTAAATTAAATTATCTATTATAAAAAATTTAAATGGCGAACCACATTATCAACAACTCCTCTGCAAGGTTCAAATTACAGAGGGCCAATATTTATGAATTTACATAAGGAACTGTGTTCTATTTCAAAACAAATTCATGAATAATTATATTGGACATAACCACTACATGCCTATCAAGAAGACTCATATATCTCTGACCATAGCTCTATTAGGACCAATTTAAACACACAGAAACCTACCAAACTCCGTTCACAACATACTTGTAGAAAATACGACTATAATGGTCTCATCTACATGTAAAAAAGCCTAAAAATAATGAAAGATTAACAATAAAAAAAGAAAAAGCCAATACTCAATAATATCAAGTACGAACAAGACCACAATATGCAGACGGCATTTGGGAAATAGAAAACATTCCAATCACTATAAATGCACATATATAAAAATCTACATATTCAGTTAAAAAAACAACAAAAAAATCATTCATAGTGGCTAATAGAATAGTCGTAAGTGCTCGGATATATAAAACATTTGGACAATTTTACACACATAGAAAAAGAAAACACTTGTACGATCACAAGAAAAATTGAATAAAAAGCTTAATAGCAGTATCTACTCACATCGCAGTCGTTTTTAATGAAACTTGTATAAAAGAGGGCTTCTTGTCCCAATACACATATATATAATAGGAAATAACAATGAGATTTATAATTCAGAGTTCTTAGCATTTATTTTTATTTTTAAAAACTGCTCGATACAACAGTAGAGCATAATATTGTAATTGTTTTTTTAAAAATATATTATCTTCGTGACATAGAAATTCCCATGTTTTAATTTGAATTGAAGTTTCAGTTTTGAAACCTGGGAACTTCTGTGTTGCGATGGTAATATATTTTTAAAAAACAATTATACATATATATATATGTATATATATTCCAGATTAAGTCAAAAATTATCCGTACTTTCGTCATAACATATCTTTAGGTTTACCACACTGCCTTCTGTTAATGCGTGCTTACTATGGTCACATGATCGAAGTTGATTGCGCCAGTTTTCTTGCTGCTGTTACAGTGTAAACATAACCACTCCGCTAACAGTGTGCATCAAGGAGGAACAAAAAGAAGTGATCTGATTTTTCTGGTTGGAAGGTGTCAGGGGCTGAAATTCATTAGGGGCTTTTAACACAATATGGCAACAGTGCACTACCACATGGAAGTTTGTATGAGTGAATTGAGAAATTTAAAAGTGGTCGACAAGCATGAAGAAGAAGCGTGAAGAAGGAGCAGGACGGCCTTCAACCTCCACCACTGATGAGAAGATTCAGCAAGCTCAAGAGATGATAATGGAAAACCGATGTGTTATCATCGATCAGGTTGCATGTTCTCTGTAGATTCGAATCACTGATCAAATTCTTGTGGTGAACAAACTTGGACCTTGTTCTTTTAAATTTTGTCTAGTGGTCGAGTCTTGTTTGCGTCTTGTTCAACATTCAGGATATGAGAAGTGACATGCTCTCTTTTTCCATTCTATCCCTACAAAAATAAATTTCTTATATTTTTACAAAAATTGTTTTTTGGATATAAAAATTAAATTTTTTATATTTTGCACAAAATTAAGTTTTTGTATAAGAAAATTTAAATTCTTGTAATTTAATATACAGGGTGATTCACAGTTGTTGAAACAAAGCGGTGTCCACTCAGATGGGGATAGCTCGAAGAGCGTGAGGGCCTTGATGAGGAGGAACAGTGGTTCCGGCAGGATGGTACTCCTCCTCACACTGCTAATGTTACCATGGCATGGCGTCATAAAAAGTTTGGGGAGAGTCTCATCAGCCGCAAAGCTGAAGTGGAATGGGTACCTCACTCGCCTGACCGGAACCCCGCAGATTTTTTCCTCTAGGGTTTTTTCAAGGACAGCATCTACCAGGTTAATCCAGGCACCATTGCTGTATTGAAGGGAGCCATCACTGAGAAGATTCAAGCGCTCATCCAAGAGGAATGTGCATTCATTATCAACAACTCTGCCTTCAAATGAACGGCACACATCTGGACTCTAGGGGGTCCTCTTGACATTTTTGGTTAAGGTTTGAGACTAAATGGTTGCCGATCCTAAAATGTTATCCTTTTACCTTTCAATAAATTTAATTTCCATTAATCTATCATTTGTGATCCTTGCTTTGTGCCTAATCATTTTGTTTCAAAAATTGTGAAACACCCTGTATCATATATATATATATATATATATATATATATATATATATATATATATATATATATGTAAAATTGGTGGTGAGCCCAGTGTGGATAGTGTCTCAGATTTAGGAATCGGAGATCGAATTCCAGTCGAATACAGGTTTGGGGACCTTGTGGCACGTAGTGCACCAGGTCTCTGTAATTGGCCCTTCAAAAAGTGTGTCTGGTTCTGCACAAAGTCTTCACCACTTTAAATCAAATCATTTGTGCTGGTGTCTGGGCTGTAGGTTCCTAGGAACTGATCTGCTTGACCCTCATACGTATAATCTGACGGGAGAGTCCATATATATATATATATATATATATATATATATATATATATATATATATATATATATATATATATATATATCCAGTCCTATAGGCAATAGTCTGTTTCATGCTATATGCATATCAAATAGAGGCAACAGTCTGTTTGCCTCTAAGGCCACCTGGTTATATTCTAAGTGTTGATTTCTATGTTCACTTTTATATTTACACACGCTCTATCTTTGATATTGAGCAGTTTATCCCATAAATATAGCACACCTTAAGACTATATTTCTTCATATATATATATATATATATATATATTCAAGTAGTAGGAGAAAACAGATTTATAAAAAAATATTCTTTAGCATTTATTTTTATTTAAAAAAGAAAACAATGTTCTGTACATAGTAGAATATAATAATATAATTATATATATATATATATAAGCAAGTGTAAATGGATATAAATCCGACAGAATGAAGAAATTTTGAAAAAACAAACAAAATCCTTTAAATGTAGTTAAATGAAAGAAATGTCGACGTCTGACGTTTCGGGTTTATTAAACCTTTTTCAAGGCGTGACCATGTTAGACGGAAGGCTGATCATTTTAAAATTTTCAGTTATCTGTTCTGAATAAGACTTGTGTTTTTTATGTCCATCGTATTTGTCATATTGAACTGAATTGTATTTTGATGAATATTGTCTTGAAAAAGGTTTAATAAACCGAAACGTCAGACGTCGACATTTCTTTCATTTAACTACATTTAAGGATTTTTGTTTGTTTTTTCAAAATTTCTTCATATATATATATATATATATATATATATAAAGATTACTTAACTGTAGTTTCATGGTAATATATTCACCTTTCACACATACACGCACATATATATATATGAAAAGTGTATGTGTGTATATATATATATATAAATATGTGTGTATGTGCAATATATATATATATTATATGTGCGGTACTTATTGGAAAGCGCTCACTATCAGGGATACAGCTAACATATTTAGTTGGATTGATGTGAGTTGTGACCCTGGGTTTCACGCTTTTGCAATCGTCAGACAAACTGATTCATTTTTTAAATTTTGGATTTGTGTAGGGTTGCGTGTATTGGTGTTTTTATGGAAGTGGGAGGAAAAATTGTCGTTGTGACGCCACTCATACTTACGCAGACATACACGCCACCCTACATAAATCCAAAATTTTAAAAAATTAATCAGTTTGTCTGAGGATTGCAAAAGCGTGAAACCCAGGGTCAGAAACTCACATCAATCCAACTATATATATATATATATATATATATATATATATATATATATATATATATATATCATTTGTGCCCGATCATTTTGTTTCAGAAATTTAAAACGCCCTATATTCATTTCACTAAAAACAGAGAGATCTACTCAAACACGTGCACCTAGTAAATATAACGTTTGTAATAAGTGATGAGGTCGTTTCAAAAAAATCCATTGATTTGTGTCGGAGTTGATAACAACTTAATTATGAATCCTGATGGACTGTCTTCCAGTATAAATATAGCCTTGTAATAATTGAGTGAATGCAAAAGTTTCAAATTAAATTCAAGTGAAGAAAAGAACGATAAGACAAACATTGTGGTTTCAGTAACAATTAAAATAATTATTGTTAACAAATGATACAAGGGCGATATGCGAAATGGATATTTCTTACTGAACAAGAAATTACTGTCACTTAAAGTAATCCCCGTGAATGTATGAATGCGTGTGTAAGTTACAAAGTGGACAGTTGACTTACTTTGACTGGATGGCACTCCGTTTCGATGTGAGTGTGTGTATATGCGTATCTCTCTCTATATCTTTCTTTCTCTCTTTCTCCTCTTCTCCCTTTCTTTCTGTACGTGTCTGCAGCTTTGAGAGACGAACGAACCGACTCGACTCTAACTCGACTAATGGACAGTGTTCCTTATACCAGTGATTCTTAACGTGGGGCCTTTTGGCCCCAAAGAGGACCTGATAAATATATTAAATGGGCCTGGAGACACCAGAAGCAGTGTAGTCATTAGTCAGGGTTTATATTTTCTTCTACATTTTGCTTTTGTAAATAAAATATATTTCCTGTTACATGGAATTTTTATGTGTGCCTGAAATTTTTTTACACCAAAAATGGGCGACAACGAAGAAATGGTTGGGAAACACTGCCTTCTATAAAGGTGAGCTAGTTCCGATTTATTCATAAATCTATGAAAAAGGGTCTCTTTTCATGCTACGGCATCTTATTTGGATTCTGTCGGCTGAAAGTTTTAGGATCCGAATTAGAAGCTTTTCTTATTGGCTCTAAAATAATTGTTTATTAGATTTGAATTTGGATTTTTCTTGAAGTTATTAAAGAATGCATAAAAATGATTTGTTTATTTTTAAAAGCTTTTTTTTTTTTTGGCGGGAGGAGAAGAAAGAATGTCAAATCTTTTATCTCGTGTATTATTTAAAATGGCAAGTATTATTTAAAGACGCGAAATTGAAAAAGAATTATATACATACATGCATATATATATATATATATATATATATATATATATATTGCGTTCAGGCATGAAACAGGCTGCCCACCTTGTGTTGACCTCAGTGTCCACTTCTATATTTACATACGCTCTATCCCTGATATTGACACATTTTTACCCATATAGCATACCCAAAATTATCATTACACACACACACACACAAATATATATATATATATATATATATATATATATATATATATATATATATATATATATATATATATATATATAATATATATAGATATATATATATATATATATATATATATATATATATATATATAATATATAGATAATATAATATATATATATATATATATATATATATATATATATATATATATATATATATATATATATATATATATATATATATATATGATTATATATATATATATATATATATATATATATATATATATATATATATATATATATATATATATATATATATATATAATATATGTGTGAATGATACTATGTAACAGGAAATACATTTTATTTACAAAAAAGCAAAAATGTAGTAGAAAATAAAAATCCTGACTAATGATTACTCTGCTTTGGTGTCTCCAGCCCCACCTCTCTCTGTATATATCTGTATATATATATATATATATATATATATATATATATATATATATATATATATAGAGAGAGAGAGAGAGAGAGAGAGAGAGAGAGAGAGAGAGAGAGAGAGAGAGAGACGTGCTATAATATTTAGCTACAGAGGAAGCGTCAGGTTATAAAATTACTGTAACCAGGGCTTCCTCACTCTCTATATATAAATGTGTGTGTGTACGTGTACCGTGTGTGTTTTAAATTATTGTTCTTGTCTCAACCCTCGAACTAAAACGGGATTCAGCCAGTATCTCTTCGTAGGAGAGGAAGGTTGGGATCAAAGTACTATGGCGTCCCCAAAAGAGGAAATGCCGAGTAGGCGGGATTATTTTTGGCTTCTATCCCATGTATGCTTGTGAGCGTACAGATGAATCCCGACTGCCAACGATATTCGGTAGTTTGGACTTGTTTTACACTGGGGACACCTTTACAATTGAGACCGGTTCGTGTTTTGTCTTGTCTGTCTGAGTGTCCCCCTCCCCCAAACTGTTTTTATTTTTCTCTATTTTTACATGTCGATATTTAAACGAAACCCCTCCAAAAAAACAGATAAGAAACCAAAAAAAAAAAAAAAATGATCTAAAAGGTAAGCCAAGTCCTTTAAAAACTTTAAATTTCCGCTATTTTAAATAAATATGTATTTTAATTTTCCCCACCATGAGAAGAAAAAAAATGTTGCAAAGATCTTTTGCGGGTGTGGTTGTTAATCTCCCTATTTAAAAATCTTGTTTCATTGTCCATAAAGGAAAAATAAAATTAATAATAAGAAAAAGATTTCTTTTTCGATTTCATTGACTTTTTTAACATTCATTTTATTTTCATTCAGTGTTGGTAATATTTTTGTGAATTAGTTAAAATAAAAATAAAATCAATAGTAAAATTGAGTAATTTTTATGAAGATCGAACCTTAGCATCGTCATTTTTTTAAAGGAATGATTTTCCATATATATAATAAACCCAAGCATAAAAATATAACAAACATTTAGAACTCCAGCTAAACATGAAAAAAACTACTGTAAATATTGTAATAAAATAAAAAAATACGTTGTTAAAAATATAAAGTTCAACTCAACACAAAAGTTTTAAAATCAACGATTGTGTATTGATTGAAGAATACAGACTTCAAGCTTAATTTTTTTTATGAAAATAAAATCTTTTGTTAAAAAATATGTGGAAGAAAATAATAAAGAAATTTAATTTAAGTGAATGTGTTTTTTTTTTAATTTTTTAAATTTAACCACCCAACTTGAGGCATTTTTTTTTATTTATTTAAATTTTAACAAGTACAAAAAAAGAAAAGAAAAGAAAAGGTTGATTTTTTAATTTTTCTAGTTTCGCTATCAGATCAACAACAATTTACAATGGAAGGTACATAACAATGTGCGTAGCCTCATGAAAAACGATATTACAAAACAAATATTTAATTTTCAACATAATCTCCTCTCTTAAGACTCTTCTCTTCCATCATTTACATACCATAAAAATCGAACATAATACAATGAAAATTTCAGATCAAAACATCTCGTATTAAATTTCTTCTTTTTGTTTAAAAAATCGAAATGAAAGAATGTACAGTTTTCTTTTATAAGCAAATTTCAAATTTGACTATGTACTCTTAAAGCATCTCCACTAATGGTGGCTTAAGCACCCCCCCAAAAAGTAAAAAAAAAAAAATAAAATAAATAGAAAAGACCCCACAAGTAAAATGTAAAAAAACTAAGCAAAAATTGTTAGTAAATATGTTATTTTATACTTTATTCAAAAGTTCTCCCAATTATACTATTTTTATACTAATATTCATCCAAGGTCCAAGAGCCACTCAAGGAAGAGGGTTTTTGAGTGAGATTATTTTACGGGCAGAAAGGGAGCATGAAGCAGTGTATAGTATGAGAGTATGTATAATAAATATTGGTTGATTCTTGATTTGAAGAAGATTGTAGTTGATAAGGAAAGATCTTGGGAATTTGTTTCTTAAAGTGACAGTTCTAGAGAAGAAGCTGTTTGAGAGGAACTTACTCTTTACTAAAGGAATACGAATGGAATGGGATTGATTTGATAGCATTTATGTGGTATGGTGGATCCTAGCTGTGAAGGTCTGAACTGGTGAAACTAAGGTTGGTTGGTTGCCCAATTTTGTTTATCAGCATATCAACCTGTGTGGGTTATTTAATGCCGAAATCTAAATATTTTGAACATGGCTTTGACTAAATATATTTTGAATGCAATTGTATGCTTTCAACTATAGATAAAATGTATTGTTGGGCATTTTGCTATAAAATGTATTGTTGGTAATTCTATAATAAATGTATTACTGGTAATTTCACTTTAAACATGTATTGTTGGTAATTTTTTTTTCATATAAAAATGTATTGCTGGAATTTTTACTATAAAAATATATTTTTATACTTTTATAGTGTTTTGTTTTTGTTTGGGGGGTTCACTATTTGGCCATAGCTGGGACCCTAACAGGTGCTACCACAATGGGTCAGGGTGGATTTGGGAATGACAGCAATTAAAAATTGGTTCCATGTTCCTCAAAACCTCCAATCTCCTGATCAGAGGCCTTGCTGCTGGATGTAGTTTATCATCATACTCAGGACTATGTAACACACACACACACACACACACACACACACACATATATATATATTGTTTTTATTTAGGCAGCAATTTTTCACTAATGCATGTTTCATTTCAAGTTTTGTCTATTTATTTTAAGTAAGTTTCTTTCATATTGTCTAATAAGCTTAATCACATTATCATTGAAAGACGAAAGGAAAACACCATAGGGATACATGTTTATATCCAATCTAAGCTTTTGGAGGTGACAATTTCAATAAATCAAACAACGGACGAAACAACAATGATAGTTCGCCCTTGCTGCATGAAAATTTCAAGTAACGACAAACTCATATGTAATAGTGAAAATCTTGTCGCATCTCATGATGTCACACATGACCATGTGAGACTGAAAAACGAGAAGTATTAAGTATGGAAGCTGTTGGTATAAACCAATAGCTTCTGTTATAAATTATAGGCATTTATAGGCATTTAAAGACTTTGTAATTTTTTAAAATATTTATAAGCTAAGTCATATCCATATGTGTATTTTTTGGTTTTTAATTGTTTTATAATCTTTCTCTTTTAGTGTTTCTTTGGTGTTATAAAAACAGCACGTACTCCCTGTAGTACCAATTGGTGAAATATAAGAACAGATTTTTGTAAGTATAAATACCTCTTGGCATTTACATATAAAACCAGCAGTGCCAGATTTACCTATAGGATTAGCAGGCTGAAAACTAGGACCTCAAAATCTCAGGGGTCTCCAGTGTAGGTGTATGATATTTTTGATACTGTCATAGGCCTTTCTTACACTTACATTGTAGACTCTAAGCAAACCGACAGTAATTTTCCTTATATTACATTTCAGAATAATTCTGTCTTAAGCCGACAACTCGATGCTAGCATTGATTTCTTTACAGATTTTTTAAATTTTAACATTCACGCATTTTTTTCAATCACATACTATATTTAACGATAACATCTTATGTGCTTTAGAGGAGGAATTGTCAACTGTGGAATTTTAAAAAACCTGTCATCATCCTTGGCTTTACTCAAATTGTTTAATATAACACTCTTTCATTTTCCTCTACACATGAGAATGCGGGATTTGCAAGGGTCTTACAAGTGGGATATCCTAGGGCCTCTGTTCATCTAAATCTGAAAACCAGGGGTTATTTTTTTTCTAAACTTTAAAGATTAATAGACCCTGTAAGCAGCCAAAGATTATTTAAACACTGCTAACAAACTGAGGGGTGTAGGAAGCAGAGGGAAGGTACATATTGAGAGCTGCAAGGGATAGAGGGAGGTGGAGAGCCATGATTACTTACATCCTGAAAAGACATGGCATATAAAAAGAAAGAAAGAACAAAGACCCGGATGTCAGTCAACACCTGAATCCATTCCTCTTTTCAGCTGCAATATGTACATTTATGTTTTAAATATGAACAAATTAATTCTTAGAAATTATAACTATGGAATCAAACCTCTGCGATATCCTTTGCTTTGGAGTAGTGGTTAACAAGCAGTATCTCAGATTAGGACTACTCTAATTACTTTTATCTTCATTGGGTACCCTATTCTTGTAGCCTTGTACCGGACTAAGCTAAACTCAGTAAATAGTGATATGCCTCTTTCACTGCATAAGTGTAACTTGTGTTGTAAATTCAGTTTACTTACAGTTCCTGAAGTTTACAGCCATATCACATTGAAACACCAGGTGCTTATATGATCACCAATGTCAAACCTCATCAGTACCTAGACTGGTGACTGCTTGGGAATACCAGGTGCTGTAAGCTTAGATGTGTGGGTGGTGTAATGGATAATGTCTCTGAACTGGAAATTGAGAGCCAAGTTTCAGTTCTCGTTGGTTCAATTATATACATGCAAATACCCTTGGGCGAGGTATGAATCCCCCAGCTATGGGTTAAATAGTAGAACTTGTCTCAGTAAAAATTATTATTTCCAAAAAAACTTCTTACAATCTAAAATATTTTCAGGCTTTAAATAACCTTCAAAAGGTTGATAATCCATAAAAAAAACAAGTCAATTACTTTTCCTGACAAACAGCAATAGTCTTCTTAAAAAGTGAACAAAACTATGTGTAGTTATTATTATTTTATTACAAGATTCATTCCAGATTAGTACATGTTACTAGAAATATGCATGCAAATTTAGTTTTTCGACTTGAATTTTCTGATGAATTTTAATTCTTAAGTTAATGATTAGAATAAGCTCATTGTGTAAAAATTACCATATCGCATTGTTAAATATTTACCAACTATAACAAAATATAGCAATATAAATCATAAATATGAATGCTGGTGGTTATTTTAAGAAGTATGGGGGTACAAATGAAAACAGTTGAAATTCACAGCATTTTTCATTTCACTGAAACAGATTTTAAACACTTCTATCTTTCTTTCTTCTCTCACGGAAACCAAGTATAGTCTCTGATATGTCTTTTCCGTCTTTCCACACAATCAAAACAGAATAGTCCATTATTTATGAGGTATTGGTAGGGCATAACGATCGTGCTAGCTAAGGGAGGGATGACAGAGATTGCTGATAGGTGTGCATTCAGATTTTAAAAGGATGCAGCAACGTTCCCATCTGTGCGTTCCAGGGACACAAAGTTTCCCATGAAAAACGATACGTTGTAGAAAATCAATGTAACTAAAATTTTCTTTCTGTTACTGAACATTTGTCAAACATTAAACCTGGCCTTGTGTCAGATCAAGTCACTTTTGGGAGCCGGATAAATACTTACTCTTTCCTTCTTTTATTGGGTGGTGGGATGTGTTGGGTGGTATGAAATAGACATCAGTGTCAGTTTACCAGGTTGTTTTTTTGTTTTTTGTTTTTTTAATTTATTTTTGTATTTAATTTAAAAAAATAAACTTTTGTTCTGTCATGATTCTCGAAAAAATATAGTATCATAATTGGATTGTTTTTGTATTGAATTTTCGTATTAAAAAACAACTTTTCTTCTGTCAATTTAAAAAAAAAAACAACTTTTTCTTGTCATAATTCTCAAAATATAAATTTTCTTAATTGAACTACGTGTAAATGTAAATACTGTTTTGGTTTGGAATTTATTAATTTAGTTTATAATTTAATTGTTCTGTCAATTTAATTGATTCAGCATGATTAAAATTGTTTTTTGGGGTGATGGTAAAAAACTTAGTCTGTAGCCCTGCAGTTTAACAATAATTTATTAAGAAACTTAAGTTGAAACCCACTGAATTTCTCAGGCACCCACCCAAATCACCACCTGTGGGTCCTGTGGACTCACTACATAAAAAACCTATCAGCAGAATTATAATGAGATAATAATTTATTATATATACTAATGTTTGTCTGGAGGCATGGTGGAGTAATGGGTAGTGGCTCAGATTGAGGAATTGGAGAGCCAAGTTCGAATTCCAGTCGAATCCATTACATTCACTTACATGCTAATATCCTTGGGAAAGGTATTAATCCTCCTCTTCTCCCCACCAGCTATGGGTAAATAGCAGGACAGACCAGGTTCTATAGCATTGGATGGCAACTGGTCTACTATAGAAAGAAAGGGCAACCTACTGTGGAAAAAAATATGCCTCATCAGTTATGTATTGAAAGATACATGATCGCTTAAGTGTGTATCATGCATGGCACATAACTGACTGACTAATGTTTACAATATTTTTCAAATATAATTGTAGCTTTTTTTCTTTTTTTAAAACTTTATCTTGATAATAAGGATGCATTTTATACACTGTTCTATGTTCTGAAAAAATATTAAACAGCATTTTAGAAATTAAGGGCTACATATTACAATTATTTGTTTTGTTTTATAAAAAATATATGTGCAAAATAATAGTACTTTCTTTGTTATCTGTTTCAGGAGTCCCTTCAAAACAAATCTGGGAATACAGTTTGGTGAAGAAAAAAATAGAAAAATCCATACAAACATAATATATAAAGTCATCTTTCAAGTAGGCATTGTCGAAAAAATTGGGCTGAATACATAGATTTTCATTTGTTATAAAAAAAAATTGTGTGGGCACATTTAGATCTTGATTATGGAGAGATTGACAGGCATGCCAGTTTATGGAGACATGTATGGGAAACAATTCCAAGCCAGAGGAAGCAGCAGTGCATCCCAGCCGCAGCGTGTATCCCACAGTGGAAACATTTCAGGAGGTAAACAGCTCTCCATGGGTCACCATACATTGGAAAGCTCCCAGCGAGCATCTCACTTGAGTCAGAATGTTTTCCCACCTGATGTTTATGGCACCCCTTTCTCGCAATCTTGCTACCTGCCTGCAATGACTGTCGCGGCTATGGCCATGAACCTACCCGAAAAGATGCAAAATGCTGGCAGTAGTGGTGGTTACGGGGGTGGGTCCAATAACGAGAACTGTAGTGGGTACCACTCAAAAAGCTCTTCACACAAAGGTTCATCCGGTGACGGTAACAGCAGTTGTGATGGCAGGGGTGGCAGTGGATGTGGTGAGGTCCCCTGTACCGGTCACTTGACTGCTGGGAAATCTGCATCCTACCACCACCCTCACCACCACAATCAGCAGCATTCAGGATCAGGAGATGGTGGTGGTTCTTCCACAGGCTCAGCATCTGGATCTGTGGGGAAAAAATACAATCAGTCCAGTAAATCAGATGCACATTACCCACAAAACCTGACCCATCAACAAGCCTTGAATCAGCGACAGTTAAACCAACAGTCTTCATCTTCCTCCTCCACACAGCATGAGCAGCAGCATCACCAACCCAATATGCAGGCTCACTATACTCCAAAACAGACATCGGCCAGATTAAAACAACTTTTTTGCGACTACTGTGGCAAAGAGTTTGCCCAGGAATACCTTATGCTGAATCACAGGCGTACCCATACTGGGGAAAAGCCCTTCCCTTGTGATATCTGTGGCAAGCATTTTGGACGTAAGGATACATTACAGCGGCATCGGAGAAATCATAATCCTGAGGCTGTTCCTGTGGCAAGACTGGATGCGAGTAATAATGGGCTATTGAAAGAGGGGATTGGTGCTGGAATTGATCACGCCCACACATTGCAGGGGACAAATTCAATCCCTGAGAAAGAGCAGAGAATGATGAGTGCACCACATCAAGATGGTAGCGTTGGGAATAGTGTTTTTGTACGAGGAAAAGAGGGAGAAGTTGGGACAATGGTAGTAATGCCGTTCTCGCATGGAAACCAGAAAGCCAAAGCTCCTAAGGAGCAAAGCCATGATAATATGCTCAATTCTATGATATCGACCGACATTCCCAAATCCACCAAGACATATCAGTGTGATATCTGTCTGAAGCCATTTGCCCAACGTCACTATCTGAGGATCCATCGACGCTCCCACACAGGCGAGAAACCATACCAATGTGATTACTGCATTCAGAAATTTGCTCGTCGTGACACGCTTCTTATTCACCGTCGGACACAGCACACTGGTGAACGTCCTCATCACTGTGAGCTATGTGGGGAGGCGTTCTTTCATCGAGCACAGTTGCAAATGCATCGCCGCTCAAAACATGTTTTAAAAGCAAGCAATAGTAACATAGCCCGAGGAAACAGTACAACATCAGGGGATGATGGTGGTGGTGGTGGTGATGATGATGATGAAAGTGCGGGTGGGGTCATCAGCGGAAATCATGTCGAAAGTAGCTTTACAATGGGTGCAGTTAGTCCAAATGCTGGCATGATGGTGTACCGAAAACGTTACCAGTGTGACTACTGCTACAAGCAGTTTGCTCAGTGTTACTACTTGCAAATTCATCGTCGGATCCATACTGGAGAGAAGCTGTTGCAGTGTGATGTATGCTTCAAGAAATTCACCCAGCGGCATTACCTTACCATTCACAAGCGCACACACACCGGTGAGAAGCCGTTCCAGTGCGACTTCTGCATTCAAAAGTTTGCACGCAAGACCACCTTGCAGATCCACCGTCGAATGCACACAGGCGAGCGTCCATTCCAGTGCGAGGTATGCCAGAAGCGGTTTGCGCAGCGTGACAAGCTGACTGTCCACCTGCGGACGCATTCACCAAAGAAGCGCTACCGTTGTGAAATTTGTTTCAAGTTGTTTGCGCAGCGTCACTACCTGCAGTTACACCACCGATCCCACACTGGTGAGAAGCCGTTTCAGTGTGAGGTCTGCTATAAGCGGTTCTCCCGCAAGAACTCCCTCCAGATGCACCACCGATCACACACTGGTGAGAAGCCATTTCAGTGTGAGGTCTGCTTTAAGCGGTTTGCCCAGAGGCAATACCTCCAACTGCATAAGCGCACACATACAGGGGAGAAAGCCTACCAATGCGAGACATGTGCCAAACAGTTTGCAAGGCGTGACACTTTACAACGTCACATGCGTATTCACACAAAACATTTGTTGAAATCTGGTAAAAGCAATGAAGAAGATATTCCACCCATGACCCCATACATGTGGTCGCTTTAGGGGGAGAGCAACTATAAATGAGGCCTAATATGATTTTATATATTTACTGGTCATGTACCGAAATCTCATTTTCTTAAACCTGTGTTAGTCACGTCAGATTCCCCTGGAGTGTTAACAGACCCCAATACAAAGGTGTTTATAGTGTTACAATTATGTAAAATATTATCGTACTGCTGAAAAACTAACATAACAGGCAATCTATGTTACAATATACACTAAATCCAAACTTAAAGTGAAGATATAATTATTCATTATAATAAATTAGTTGTATAAACATATGTCGTAAATTGTAGGGGAAACACACCAATACAAGAATAGAGAAAAGTTTTATTCATCAAAAATCATCAAAATATATCCGCATGAATAGAAAGGTATTACATTCACTTACGTGTTAATACCCTTACGAAAGGTATGAATCTAACTCTTCTACCTCCCCCCCCCCAGCTAAGGGTAAATAGTAGGACAGAGTGGGTTCTATAGCCTTGGGTCGCAACAGAGTAAGGTAAGCCAGAATATATTTTATGATATATATATATATATATATATATCTCAATCAATTTAAATGTCCTTTGGGAGATTGCATCTCTGATAAAAATGTTAATATGTATGTTGGTTTTACAATAACGACGATGACGAGAAGGCTTACATTTCACTTGAACAATCATTTATTTTTATTTTTAATCCTTTCAAGAAAATTCTTAATCAATTTTCTTGAAAGGATTAAAAGTAAAATAAATAGACATAATATGTCTAAATTATTTAACCAAACATGCTTGAATTAAAATATACTGCCTATATATATGTATATATATATATATATATATATATATATATATATATATATATATGAGAAACATAAATCATGAAAACTTATGTTTGTTAGTCAGATGGGGTAACAGGACACTGTAAAGAAGATGACATGATGTCTGCCTCCCACGAGAACTAAGCTACAACTGCACCACACCATATATTACAGATCCTCACTGAATCAGGAGAGTAGTGGGTGGGAGCAAAAAAAAAAACAAGTTACCAACTAGAAATTACAGATACTTTAAAAATTTTTGAGTAACAAAGCATCCCATGTGACTAACGCAGGGTTAATCATGAGATAAACCTACTTATTAAGGAGATTTTTTTTTTTTACTAATTGATCACCCAATGCAAGGTTTGAGAGCCACTCCAGGTAGAGTTTTACTGAATGAGGTTACATTAATGTAAGAAGTGCAGATTATGAGGATATGTATGAAAGAAAATGGTTGGCACTAGACTTGAAGAGCACAATTAGTCAGGGAAACATCCTCTCGGGAGCCTGTTCCACAAAGTAGCAGTACTTGGGAAGATGCTGTCTGAATAGATCTTTCCTTCTTAATAAGGGAATCTGATGGGAAATGGGGATGATTTGTCCCAGTGTATGTGTCATTGTGGTGGTGGGGGGAGGGTCTTAGCTGTAGATGTCTGAATTAAAGAATGAAGCTCGTCAGAACATTTGCTGTAGAAAGGTTAGCAATGTTTTGTCTGTGAGAAAGTTGTTGTAGAGTGAAAGGTAATTAATCACCCACAAAGCCATGAAAATGCTATATACTGTATGTACTGTTGTATAAGCTGATCCAACCTCTATTTTATGTCTGAGAAATTGGGGGGGGGTGGAATCCCAAAGCCATACATGAGCTAAATCAGCTAATCAACTCATTATGTTCAGATGTTGTAATTTTGTAAATTCCCCTGAATGGAGAATATTTTTACAAAATTTTAATATTTTGATATCTAAAATAGTTTTAAGTGGCCATTAGATTATAGTTGCTTTTTCACATCTCTATTATACAATGACTTTCTTTGACAAGTGTGCCAGTTTTTATAAAGTTTCAACAAGTTTTGATTTTTTTGTTTACTACCTTTCAGCAGACAGTGTATTAAACTGTGGTTGTTTAAGAAAAACAAACTTCTGCTTTGCTGTATTCATCTATCTATCGATATAATATATATATATATATATATATATATATATTTTGTGTGTATTTAGGCAGCATTTTTTCATTGATGCATGTTTCATTAAATGATATAGACAAGTTTTGTCTATTTATTTTAATTAAATTCCCTTCATATTTTCTGATAAGCTTAATAACATTATCATTGAAAGATGAAAGGAAATCACCATATTGATACATATTTTTTAATCCTATCTAAGCTTTTGTCTTACATAAGCCATTATCATTGAAATGTAATTGTCATCTTTGATAATGGCTTATCTCTGATATTGAGCACTTTATCCCATAAATATAGCACACCTTAAGAGTGTATTTCTTCACATATATATATGTGTGTGTGTGTGTGTGTGTGTGTGTGTGTATATATATATATATATAGAGTGTCCATAAAGTCTCTTCACAATTTAAAAAATTTATTACAGAAGCAAATGACCAGACAAATATGTTGAAATTATTACAAAATGAGGAGTAGATATTAAAGTTTTTTTTACTAATTAAATACACCTCTATAGGGGTACCATTAGTTGCACAAAGCACATCAAGATGGTACTCGACCTCTTGCCACACTTGCTGTAGCTTAGCCTCATCAATGGTGGTAATGGCATCAGTGATCTTTTGCTTTAGATCAGTGATGTCTTGTATCTTTGATACATGGTATCTTTAACATGATCCTATAGAAAGAAGTCCAGGGAAGTGATATCTGCTGAATGAGGTGGCCAGGGAATTGGACCATCTCTTCCAATCCACTGGTCTGGAAATGTTTGATTTAGGAACCCATGAACATCCTTTCCCCAATGTGGCGGTGTGCCATCTTGCTGGAAAATGATGGTTGGTTGAAGGTATTCATCAATTACCTTTGTAATATATTTTTTAAATTGCTAAGAGACTTTATGGACACTGTGTGTATGTATATATATATATATATATATATATATATATATATATATATATATATATATATAATTCACATAAATACTATTTTATATGCTTAGTAGCATATAAAAAGTAAATGTATGTTGCAAAATCAAAAAATATCAACTTAAAATCTTGTAAAAAACTTTTTTTTTTTAAATAATTGGGAAATGTGATTTGTATTGTTTTTTTTTTTTAATTTCATCCTAAAAAAAGATGATATTATTTATATAATATATATATATATATTTATATGTACATATATTTTATTTATTGTACTTGTCAACATATAGGGCACATTTAAAAAAAATAGAAAATGACTAAAAACTTCCTTTAACAGTCATTTTGTAAGCCAACATTAAGTCATGGTCATTGTTGTCCAGCATGAGTGGGGTGCTGAAAAATTCTCTGTTGATACAAGAAGCCCTTTCAAAACAGATTCTAATTAGTTTGGCCATATTTTGGGATGTGGGTCAAATTTAGAACTTTTGAATAACCTCATTGAAATGGGAAGTGATTTATCTGATCCCGCCCCAGTAAGGTAAGATATGACAAAAGGTAATTTTTTTTTATTTGGGGTGTCCATATGCCTATGGGCCAAGGACAAAAATTGCCCAGACCCCACTGTCATGCTGACATTGATATTACACCGACTCCACCTTTCTTAGTATAATGAGGAAGGTGTTGCCACAGGTTTGGAATTCCTCGGACTGGGTGACTTCTTTCATATCAAATGAGAAGAGAACAGATACTATGCTTTAGTCCCCACTGGCAGAAATAAGATTTTACATACCCTCATTTTTTATATGCCATGAATTGCAGTATTTTTGCTTCGGTATAATTTGTATATCATCAATGCTTTTGTTATTGAAATGATTTCTTTTAAAAATCAAAAAAAAATATATAGTCAATTTTCTGAATTTTTCAAATTCAAACTTTTCTGTATATAATTTCTCCCACTTTGATTGACTTTTGTTTTGTATCTTTCATGTTTGACCTTGAAGTCTGTATAATGATTTTTTCCTTTTTTTTTTTTCTTTGTATTTATGATTAACTTTATTCTTTATCCCTGTTTATGATTATTTAGACAAGCTACTTTGGGATTCTCAGATTACTTAATACAGGTTGGAAGACATGACCGAATTGTTGTCAAAAATATACAGAAGTTATTTCAGATTGTAGCTACTCTCTTAAACATTGCTTTTGGTGGACTCTACTTGCTACCAAGTCACTTGCTATTTACAGAGTTGATATAATTACAGCCACTGTTCACTTAACAACTTAGCTGTTTAAGACCTGAGCATTAATGGTTATGAGATATTTTTTTTTTTGTTTTGTAAATTTGTAGTTTTCCAAAAATGTTGTAGTTTTTTTGCGTCTCGTGTGGAACATGTGAGAGTATTAATGGTGTTACGCAAATTTCAGGAGCATTCAAGTGCTCATGGATTGTAAACATATGATATTTGTGGGTGCTTCTGGTCCTAGAGGGTTAACATATTCCCCAGAGATACAACCAGCTAAGCTCTCATAAAATAAATATCAGTATTGTATATTGTATGAAAGCTTTGATTGTAATTGTTTTCTGTTACTTTGCAATAAATAAAATGAAAAATTAATAAAAATTTACTTGTACTATATTTACAGTATATAATTGTAATGTATAGAATGTATATTCTATACATTACTTTGTAATGTATAGAATATAGAACTGATTTTTGAATTTGTTTTGTAATGTCATTTGTAGGAGAGACTTTGTAAATCACAGATACAATCCGTCCTGGGTAAGACGATAAACTACGTCCAACAGCAAGGCCTCTGATCAGGAGGCTTTGAGGAGCGTGGAACCACCTCTTAATTGCTGGTGTTTCCAGTTCCATCCTGACCTGGGGTGGTAGCACCTGTTAGGGTCCCAGCTATGGGCAAATAGTTAATCCCGAAACTGAGGTAAAAAGCATTATGAAAGTGAAAAATAGGTTTTAATACCAGAAATACTTTATAAAATAATTATTACCAGAAATAAATTTTTGGAGAAGAAAAACTGTTACCAGCAATACATTTTTAAAAAAAAAAAATATTACCAGCAATACATTTTTTTAAATCTTA